ATAGGAAATGCGTTTTTCTAAGGTACATAAACTTTTGGAATTAACTGTATAGCCAATACATCCTTAAAATAACCGCTTCTCTGCCCCGACGTTTTCTCTGAAAAGAATTTTTACTACCAATCAAAAAAAGACTCGATCGATCGTCTCTTGTACTCTGAAAGAATCGATCCTCTGCCCTCGAATTCGTCGCCCGTTAATCATATAACAGGATAGAATCATGCACAGTCGTTAGAGATATATCACTCACTCGGCGTTGGTCTCCGGCGTGGGTAGGTCACCGATCGTGGTCAGTGTGAGGGTGGACCAGTAGAGAGACCCGAGATATTTCCTGGTGAGGGTCGCGTACTCCCCCGGCCGGTACGGGTACACCCAGTCCCCTTGGAATCCCTCGGCCTCGCTCAGCAAGTAGTAAAAGCATCCGAACCAATGAGCCAGTATCAACAGTATGTGTATCAGGTTCAACACGCGCCACAGATTCGGGTAAACCGTCCGCGACTCGACCATGTAATAGTAATTGTACACGCGGTAGATCTTGAGGAACCTCGGGAACCTCAGCATCGGATTACTGCCGAGGTTCACCTGTAGCAGGTCGAGCGGAAGCAACGCGAGCAAGTCCAACACGAACGACTTGGACTTGAGGTAGTGACCGGCCAGTTTCTTGCTGTTGTACACCATCAACCCTTGCTCTAGGTAGCCGGTGCGAAATTGCACGGCCACGTCTAGGAAGAACACGAGATCCGTAAAGCCGTCGCAGGCGAGCCAGACGGCCGGCGCTTTCGCCTGTAACTCCGGTAAACTTTGCCGCACGATCAACGTCCACAAATTGTACAGCACGCAACCGGATAGGAGCATCAGCCAATAATAATAGAAGTTCTCGTCCGGGTTGACGACGGTCGTCGGCGGCCTTTGAGGCCTTCGAGGACGGCGTCGTCGACGTCCGCTCGCGTCTTTATCGTCGGCCGCGTCGCCCTCGCCCTCGCCGGTGTCCAACGTCTCTTGGCTCTCCGGGATTTGCCTCGTCGAGAATCGTTTCAAGAACGAGTCCTCTCGTTTCAACGGTGGTTTCTTCTGTATCGTTGATATCGCGGATGAGAGCTGAACGGTCGTACGCAGTTTCATCCAACGTTGGTTGCTCTTCGTTCTGCGAACAGACGTAGGATTAGATCGACGCCGAAGGGAGGAGGGGTGGTAGAATCTGAGTAAAATAGATAGAAGTCGTTGCCGAACAGGAGAGATCGGAGAGAGATTAAATGTTCTCTGCTTACCTAGAACGGCTGATCGATCGAGAAAAAAAATGATCGATGAGTCAGAATTTGTCTCTTGGTTTACGCAAATCTTTACTACACGTGGTACGAGTTTCTCGATATTCTGCGATTTCCGTTGCATCGAAACCGATAAACTTTTGTACGAATACAATAAATTTCGTTCGGACGCAAGCAAAGCAGCACGTACGGGCAGAAATGCCTCGTTCGTCGGGGAGTTCGTGCCGGTTTCGAGTTCGAACATCGCATAAGTAACGCCGTATGATCCCCGGAGAGAGCCGCGCGATCGCTTTCTGTTCTACCGCGCGCGCCGACGTTCCGATAAATAACGGACTTGACCGAATTCCGAATTATTGCGGCAATACATCGGATCGTTTCCGATCCTCGCGTTCCTCCGATAAAACGCATTCTACGAGGCAACCGAATCTACGCGCTCGTTGCGTGACAAACGTTACTCCTGATTTTCTCTCCTCGATTTTGTCAGATCATCATTATTTTAGAAAGCTTCTTTTTTCATTTATTAAAACCATGAATCTTCGTATTTGAAATTTAAGAGAAAATTAAGAAAAACTTCGAACTTCGTTCTATTTATTAATATTATAAATAAAATTATAATATAATTATTTATTATAAATAAAATACTTCATATTCGTAATAATATTTTTTTAATTTTATAACCGATTTAGTTTCAGTGATTCTCTTTAATCGTCCCGGTTTCTAAACAGAACAGAGTAAAACGTAAAGTCAGCGTGGCCGTTTCTAAGGGATAGTAAGCTCCCCGGGGAATTTATGGACACCTTTCCGAGTAGATTTTAGAGCTCACCACCGCGCGAACAAAGACAAACTGCCTTTAATTAAAATCACCGTCCAAAACGATTTTTCTCCTCGCTCTGTTTCTTTACCTCATGAAAATACATAGCCAAACAACCGACTAATCACGGTAAATTGATCATAGTAAAAAGACGAGGAGAGACGTTATCGAGAAAATTACAAAATAGAAACTCGAAGTATCTGACAAAAACCCTTGAACCCACGAAAGTACACCCAGGCTAACAACGAGCCCTTGCTAATGAAAAATCGACAAAAACTTGGTTCACCTATAAAAAAAAAGTCTCTAATAAAAAACGAGTAGTCGCACTTCCACAGGTGAAACGCATTCCACCGGTGCATCATGCAACAATTGATCAACCGATTCAAATAAAAAAAAAAAAAAAGAACGCGTGTCGTTCGAACCGCCTTGGCTCGAGGGCCCACGTACAGTTAGTAACAATGAAATTGAGCCAGCTATGTGCATTTTTTAGTTTCCCCTGGAAACAAAATTTAAAACAAACAATAAGTCTATGTCTTATTTTTTCAATACTCAATCTGGCATTAATACTGTTGAATTTTATTATAATTTTGACGTGTCAAAATAAAAAGAATTT